GGGAAGGGAAAGAGGAGCAACTTCTCAAGTGGGGAAAGGAGGTGCTCTGGGCTCAGGCCTGCTCCCCTGCCCCACCCGACAGCCAGCACCTGTGCGGCTCCTGGCCGGTGGCAGCTGGGGCGGAGCAGGCCCCTTGCAGGGGAACTCCCAGCCCAGCCCTGGATTCTGAGAGAGCTATTCAGAGTCATCCCTGAGGGCCTTGCCTCGCCATCTCTGCTCGGGGCAGGGGTGCTGATCCATTGCACAGATGGGAACATCAAGGCTCAGAAAGAAGGTCTGTTACATGGGACCAACAGGGGCCAGGCCTTGGGGGTCCCGAGCTCTCTTAGGCAGTCAGGCACGTGAGCCCACTTTCCATCCCAGGCCAGGGCAAGGTGACCCTGGCCAGCTGAGCCCAGCCGTCCATGGGGAGAGGGTCTGAACTCCTGGGTGGGTGGGGGCGGGGCCCTCAGCTGCCCTTCAGGCCTCCCCAGCCCCATGGGCAGTCACCTCTCTTCTCGGTGGTCACCACCAGGGCCTCAGCGGCCTCGCCCCAGCCCTTGCGGGTCTGGGCGGTGATGCGGAACAGGTAGACCGACTCGGGTTTGAGGCCGGTGGCCGTGTACTGGCGGGCGCTGGGTGCCAGCACCTCCACGGAGGCCGTGTTGGCGGTGGTGGCGTTGAGCCGGTGTGTGATCTGGTAAGCTGAGGAGGGGGAAGGACATGGGCTGAGCTAAAAAGCAGGACACGTGGCCCCCCAGGTCCCCGAGAAAGGGTCATTCCTTCCTCGGCCACCCCAACGTCTGCAGGGGGACCACCTTGTCTGTGGTCCGTCTGCGTGAAGCCCTCTTGGTCACTCTTGTGTCCTCAGCTGCCTGTGGGGAGTGTGCCAGCAGGGGAGGGGCATGGACAGGGGCTCTATCCACAGTGTCTGTGACCCACTTAACAGCCTCAGGTGAGGAAAGGGAGGTTCAGAGAGGCCAGGCCACCTGCTAGGAAGTGACTGAGCTGCAATTCCAACCCAGGTCACTCCAAGTCCAGTGCACCTGCCTTTCCCTGTCTCCAGTCTGCCTTCTGAGGCACTGATGCATCAGATCTGCACCCCACCCCCACCACCCCGCTGGGGACGGGGGTTAGCTCCTATGAGCATGGCTTTGCTGAGCCAGCCAGGGCGCCCCCACCTGGTCATACATGGGAACAGCGGCGGAGGTTTTCCAGATGGCCCCTACACTGGGCACCTGGGACTCTTGGGTGAAAAAAGTTAACCGGTGAGTGAGCCCCGACCTTGACCTTGCCCTCCAGCTGCTAATCTTTTTTTTAAAAACATATTTTATTGATTTTTTACAGAGAGGAAGGGAGAGGGATAGAGAGTTAGAAACATTGATCAGCTGCCTCCTGCACGCCCCCTACTGGGGATGTGCCCGCAACCCAGGTACATGCCCTTGACCGGAATCGAACCCAGGACCCTTCAGTCCGCAGGCCGACGCTCTATCCACTGAGCCAAACCGGTCAGGGCTCCAGCTGCTAATCTTACAGACTGAGCTTTCTGGTGGGAGAAACGTGATCCAGACCTGTTCTTGAGGGGATGAGATGGGGGCACCTCCTGGCTGGTTTTCCTCCCGCCAACACTGGATGTGCCTCCTTTACGCCTTATGCCTCCTCCTTCCTGTGGCCGGGGCACGGGAAGGGGAAAGGCTTACCGAGAATGATGCCGTTGGGGGCAGCGGGGGGCTGCCAGATCAGCCGCACCGACGTGGTCCTCACCTCTGGGAAGAGGATGCCCATGGGTGGTCCCGGGACTGGGGGGACAGAGAAGAAGCGGGTGACAGTGAGCGAAGCTGCTCCCCAGCCCTGAGCCAGGTCAGCTCTGGCAGAGCAGCGTGGTGGGGGGCACCCAGCTGAACAAACTCCATGGGGTGCTGCTCTGTGCCCGGCATCGTGTCCTAACACAATGTCCGCACATGAAGATGCTATCGGAGGTCTCTGCCCTCAACATGGGCATGACTGGCAGGAACGAGGAGGGACCTTTAGCTTGGTCTGTGCACATGTGCACACATTAGGTCCATGCCCTCAGCGCTGGGCAAGGAGGTCTGTGCTTTATTATTATTATTATTTTAAATATATATTTTTATTGATTTCAGAGAGGAAGGGAGAGGG